TTGTGCAGCAGGAAACAGTGGTGGGTGGATCAGTCGATTCAAAGCTTAACAGATGGCTTCTCCTCCCAGACCAGGGGAATTAGCCTTGGTATGAGGAAGAGCAGACTTACAAGTGATAGAAAGGTCCATTATTAGAACCTGACTGACTGCCACTGGCAAAGCATTTCTCATGCAGTCATAATCTAACTGATCCTGAAGCAGTTGAAATGTTTACTCCAGCTATTAACCCCGAGAAAACATAAATGTAATCTCTTTTTAAACATACACACAAAGTAGAAAAATACAAACATGTTTTACCATGTGGGAGTGTGAGGAGCAGCTGTGTAAGCTGCAGCTCTGTGAGGAGGGTGTGGACCTCCTGTTTGTTCGGATGTTTTCTATTTTCTCTGGAATGTTCTTAGAGCTGCTGATCTGAAATTGAGTTGAACACACACTGCATATCCTCCCCCACACACATGCCATTAAGGTTTCTATAGGCAGTTGGGCATCAAAATCCAGTCTATCACAAGGCTGACGTGTAGACAAACAACCATACACACTCATACAATTTAGAGTCACCACTCAACCTAAGCTGCATGTCTTTGGAGTGTAGGAAGAAGCTGGAGCACCGAGAGAGAACCCACACAGGCACAAAGAGAACATGCCAACTCCACACAGAAAGGACCCGGATCAGCCGGGGCTCAAACCTGGAACCCGTTTGCTATGAAGCAACAGCACTAACCACTGTGGCGCCCATTACTTAACCAGTGATGTTTAAAAGTTGCTTAAAAACATTGTGCATTTTGAGACTTCTCAGAGAGTCTTCTGACCATCAAGCTAAAAAGTTATTTTGTCCGCTGGTTAAAAAAACAAACAAAAAAAAAACATTTCCCAGGCTGTGACTTTTGTCTATCCAAAAGCTGCCATTTTTGTTTTGATTCAGAGTCACAACATTGGAAGAGTTTTAAAAAAAAAATCTTTCAATCATTCAGTGGATTAAATATTTTTTTCATCCAGGTGGTTAGAAGAGTCTTTGGAGATTTAAGTACAACAAGAGTTTTTAATCAAATCAAACATGGCTGGTTAATGAACTGTCAGAGAAACGAACAGTTAACCTTTGTGACCCGAATGTATGTTAAACATAAAAACTAGACTGGAGCTGCCTTCTTTTGCTGTGTCCTCAAAAACAGTTGATTAGATTTTGGTGACAATCTGGGTTTTCCACCATCACAGGGGCTTAAGGCATTTATGCTGCATTCAGGAAAGTCCCACAGAATTAGGCCTCCAAGTTGTTGGCTAAACACAATAATCACATGCAACTGTATGAGAAAATGCAACAGCATCACAAAGCCGAGTGAATGTTCTCCAGAAAACACCCTGACACTGTGGACAGTATTTGATTTCACCAGCAGCAGCTTTTCATGTTCTTACTAGCTGTGCTGGTGTGCACTGCTGCTGACGCTCAGACCTTTTAGAATTTTGGTTGAATTCTCTGATTACTACTTATGTTCTTGCCACAGTGATTGTTTAAAGGCATCATTTGGTTTATTCATCAAGTGTAAGAGACCAAAACAGCCAATGTCTTCCCAACTAAGTGCAAAAGTTGATTAAACCCCCGTGTAATTTGTCGGGGGGAGGGCATTTGATTTTTACTATCAAACCACTGGAGGATTCAGGGATTCCTTTCATGTGAGGAACCACCCAAAACGAACCAACAACCTGCTTTAATCCCCACCTTACTTCAAAAGAACTTCATCTTGATCACAGAGAACCAATGCTGGCACTACAACAATGAAGTCTGTGTTAAACAAACACATGACAATGCTGTATGGAGGCTGTGTTGTTTTAGCCAATGACAGAACACAGTGGCTGAATGAGCAGCAAGACCTTCATCAGAAAAATGAAACAACACCCTGGAAATGATCGTCTTCAAAAACATTAAGACACCACATAAACCACAGTATTCATAGAGTGTGCAGGGACTATTTTATTGTCTTGCTTAGGTCTTCGCCTGCTCACAGGAGAGGTCTGACAGGCAGCACGGACACTGGGGTGATTGACCATCTCTGACCACTTGTTTCTGTCTTTGTTTGGCGATGAAGAAAGGTCGTCTGCTGAAGACAGTCCCCACTCTGGATTTAGTGTATCACAAAAATGTCTACATTCTTTGTGTTGTAAAAAGCAAACAAAAAAACCAAACAGAAATATTATATTACAAAACACTAATATTAGTTATTCCTTTTTCTATTGATTGAGAAGGAAAGTCTATTTTCACAACAGTTCTTCTCATTTGCAGCTCAGGCACACTGCAGTGACACAGACAGACATTTTGTTGCATTTGGTCCCACTTGCTGTACACTCCAACAGGCGCCATAGGCAGAACTCGGCTATCTGTCCTACCGATGCTCGCAGAGGGCTATGAACTGCAGCTCTGATGGGCTCCTAGTCATCTGACTAGTGCAGAGCACTAGGATCAAAATGCTTGCAAAGGGAAGCCCGGCAGTGGCTGTGGTCCGGACGAAGAGCCCAGCAAGATGGGTACCAGCCTCAGCAGGTCTTTGAGAGGGATGCCCAACTGGCTGCTACGTGACAGGAAATCCCCGAGTGAGCTGCAGCCTGCAGGGGAAGAGGATA